TTGCCTTGCGACCTGGCAAAGAGAATGAAATTTTTGAGGAATACTAGCTTCTCTTGCAAGGGCTCCAACAGTTTTTCAAGTTCCGAATCGTAGGCTTCACCCCAATTGAGAATATCGACAAAATTCTCTAGCAAGGAGTGGAAGAATTCCATGAACTCATCTGTCAAAGAAGAACTGGATGCCAATAAGCGATCCAACATACTGGGATACATTTTCCTGTCCCAATTATACCTCCTGAAACCGTCTGTCTCAAAATCTCTTGTATTCCGTCGGATTCTATCCTCATCAACGGATTTCAGTAAAGAATCGGAATCACAGACATAGGATGTCCTGATTTGTTGCTTAGAACTCTTTAGAATATCTCCAAAAGTTGAAGCTGATCCAGCCAAGTCACTGGGGGACAATCCATCATCCTTGAATCGAAGAAGAAGAGAGTAAAACTGCTGCCCATTTTTATGAACAGAATCTTCCAAGTCACCCCCGGAATATCCCAATTTCCACTGACACAGAAGGAATGTTTTCACTAGCCCAAGCTCCACCTTCAGCTCATTCAAAGCACGATCATACTTGCAGAGATCACCCTGGGGAACCAACAGCCGCAGTTTATCTAAGATGGAATCAATGCAAGTCATCAACTCCATCTGCCTTGTTGTTTTAGACATCCCTATTCTCAGATTTCTCTCTCTACCCTTTCAGTGAGTGATTGTTTGTTTCTACCCCTCAATGAAATGGTAGCTTTCAAAACACCAGTACTAATACATTATTCATTAATTGAGTAAAAAAACAATTTATAAAAAATATTTAAATCAACCTTATATGATCAAAGTGTAAATGAACTTTTCAAAGTTTGAAATATTACTATCAAACAACACAATTTATCTAATTGTTTATTTTTAAACAAGCACCCCGAAAAGCTTAAAAAATTTATAATTTTGCAAAGAAAGTAACATCGAACCTACCTTTTTTTTTTTAATCCGGTGTCCCAAAGGTATAGAATAGTATAGCGCTTATCTTATTTTTCTGATATTATTGTCAAGTAAGTGTTGACTTTCCTCGGATGCTATCATCCTCGATTAGGATTTATTAGCGGAGTAGAGACACTAATTAAGTAATTATTCCCCGACAACTTCACTCTAATTAATGATAGAGGACCGACTTTTTCTAAAATAATGTTGAGTGGAGGTGTAACCATTTGCTAATCAAAAGCCAGAAATTATATGTTGAAGGAATAAGAAACTGTTGATGATGATTTGTTGAATAAGCACAATTCCATAATTCTTTTGGTTTCTTTTTTTTTTTTTAAATTTTGGGCGTTATCATTTATTAAATAGCTGTTGGAAAATTTGCAAATCAAGATAACTTTCAGATTTTTATATATAAAAGATTTTCGGACTCGAGCCTTTCTTTTTTTTCTTTTTTTTTCTTGTTCTAACTTTTATTGAATTTTTTGCAAATTCAGTGAAGTTGAAGGCTGCATTTTGAGATTGGCCTAAAACTTAAAGTCGAAGCGATGGATTAAATAATTAAACATTGACATAGTAATCATCTTAATCTGCAATTATGAAAAGAAAAAAACACAAGAGTCACTATCATTAGCACAACCCATTGAGGGCGATGTTGGTTGAAACCTGGAGGCTATAAGTTGAGATTTATTTAATTCATTAGGTAAGATGCTCTTAATTACTTAATCCTGCTGTTAACGTGTGAATCATAGTCTTGCATTTACACTAAAAGTCATTGAAATCTATCAAGTGAAATGTTTTTTCCTCCTTTTTATTCAGACTTGACTAATACAAGGATAAATGTACAATAAACAACCTCAACTTGAATATAAAAATTGTTGTCCTCGTACTACCTAACCCATCTCTCTCTCAGCCTCTTGTATAGTTTTGTGATTTTCTCATTTTACTCATTTACATTTCAAAATATTCCCCTAAAAATCTCCTTAAGGAAGTAATTAGACTATAAAATTTTTGAAATGTGATACTGCGAGATAAGCATCTTTCACCCTAGTTTGGATTCAAATATTTTAGGGATAATTTAAGAAACCTCCCTTGAGGTTCTTGACAATTTCACTGAATTCTCTCGAATTTGAAAAATTACACATACCACCCTTATCATTTAAAATGACAATTTTATCCTTAAATATTTTAATGAGATTCCATTCCCTTATTTGGTATGCTTATACTTAGAATGAGTTTTAAAATTATTTTTTTCATTCTTTTTCCTTCTTATTCCTTTTTAAAATTTTTCACGAATAAAACTGTAGAACTACCACTATTGTTTCTAGTTTTTATTGTAACCAAATGTCAAACTAGTGATTTTTTTGACGAGTTAATTTTATATGTAATCCAAAGTTTTTGCTGATCTTTGCTTTTTTATTTTTTGGTACTAAAATTAATAATAAATAAAAAAGAAATGACCCAAAACCACTACCAAATTATGATAATCTCATTACCCGAAAAATTCATAAACTCAGAATGAATTATTTCAACATTTTCTTTTCTATCTTATATATCTAAATCCATAATAAACTACCATCAAAAGTATCCTATCATATGATAAAATTATTATTATAACTGTTTATTAAATAGTAGGTATGGACATAAAAAATTTGAAACCTTTTCCTTATAATTATACTAGATAATCTTATAATTGTATCGAAAAATATATTAAAACTCATTACACAAGGGAAATTTTGGGTATTCATTTAAAAAATTGACCAAGTCAATATTATTTTAAGATTTTGTTACTAAAACTATCAAATCAAGGGAGGTAAGTGTAATTTTTCAAATTTCAGGGGAGTTCAGTGAAATTATTAGAAACCTTAGGGGAGGTTTCTGAAATTGTCCCAATATTTTATTTACGTTTTGCTGAGCTAGATCAAATGTGAACGAATCATGATATGTTTAAGCTTAAAAAAAAAAAAATTCAGCTTAAAGAATAGATATGGTTAACTTTTCTTCATGACACAGAGCAATTTAAGCTTCGTTAGCAATTTCTTTTCCTTAGCGCTTAGTCTTCTATCAAGATTGGCTTGTACATTAAACATTTTTAGACAAATGAATCAAGATTCATAAGTAAACCTCAATAACTAAGAAGTGGACTGGATCCCGTGTCATTTTTTATTTTGTAACATAGTTTTTTTAAAAAAAATTATTTTGTAACGTAGTTGGAGTATTCTTTTTACAAAACGACAGTCGTTTATGATTTCACCGATAGAAGAAACATTGAAAGGTCCGAACCAGGGGGAAGCTCCGAATTGAGAAAGACCATGCCGGAGATTCACACGGTTTGGCCAGCACACCCTCCGGACACCATCGTTCCAACAGTCCATCTTCGAGGTGGTTATCATTAGGGTGTTCATTGGTCGGCAATTGAGATTTCGATAAAAAAGAAAAAATCGATTTTTTCTTCTAAGACCAACTTTCAATTATCATCCAAACTTTAGTTAATTTAGCTAAGTGGACAAAACTCCTAAATGATCCGATGTCAATATGACATGACAACTCCTACTATCTTTCCTCAAACATTTCAAAGCTGAAAAATGTTATAGCATGATGGACCCAAAGAAGAATACGAAGGAACTAACGAAAAGAAAAGAGAAAAAATCCAGAAGTTTCAGGAGCATGATTTTCTTGACTTTTAGATGAATATTAGGAAACAAGGCTCCCATAAATTGGAAATTAAGAAGCAAGAAGAAGATGAATATTAGAAAACAAGGCTCCTATAAGTTGGGAAAAAGCAACAGAAGTAGAAAAAAAGTGGTTGGAGAAATAGCATGTCAGTAGAGGGATTGACAACAACAACTTAAAGGGTTATAAATATTATTTTGAGTAAATTATGATCACGATCTTTACTGCATGTCCTTTTTATCATTTGTAGTTGAATTTTCCTATTTAATCGATACCTTAAGCGTAATATCTTCATTATTTTCTTGCAATGATGGATTGCAAAATGCAAGTGTTGTATGCAACTACAAATAATTCACCGAACAAACATGGCAGCGATTAAAATGTCTTATCTTAATAGATTTCCTACCTATTCCAAAAGTCTAATAATTTTTGTATTGCACTATTCCTTGGAATCTGCTCAAGAAGCCAAAAAAGATTAAATACAAGTTCAAATTGATTAGTGAAAGTAAACTTTTATCATGATATTAGATACTGACACCATAAGAAGACTAGAAGCAGTAACTCTTGGATAGATATAAAATTCATCTTTTGCCGTCAAAACTGAAAGTGCCATACTAATCTATTGTTAACATAAGAGAAGAATGTAACCCCTTAAAGTTTTTTAAAAAAAAAAAAAAAATCTTTTGGTCTTTGAGGTGGGCTGATGGCAATGTTTTATTATAGTACAGTTACAATTGAAGTACATGCTTCAAGTTTATTTTACTTTAAAGGTTTGACTTTCACACACACAGTTTAAAGTATATCAAAATCATTCTGTTTTGGGGCTTTTTAGGCACCCAATGATTTATTGCCACATAAAATTTTTTTAAAATATTTTATTGTAATAACAATGTACCTGCATTCACACAATTTTCACGTTTGCTTTTTTCTTTTTTTCTTTTTTTTCCTCTTTAGTAATTGGAAATTTTGCCAAATTGGTCCCTAACATTTTCACAAAAAACTTTTTTGTCCCCAACATTTAAAATTAACAAGAATCGTCTCTAACATATAAATTATGATCCATTTTGGTCATAATGCTCGTATTTGCTCATTTTTCCGACTAAAAATAGCATGCCTCTCTCACGTGGGCATATTTTTAAGTGCAAAATCGAAAAACACACTTCATTCCCGGTTGAAAGCAAAAGTACCCCTTTTCGCATTTCCCCCTAAAATTACAATCACAAAAAAGCCTAGTTTTCCCCCTGAATTTTGGGAGGAAGCATATGGAAAAGGCATTGTGTACCTAATGTTGAAAGGGGCCCCTTTTTCTTTTGCTTTCGTGCCAACGAGACACCAAGCACCACAAGACCAATTGCTAGAAAGCACATGAATCCAATTGCCATGATAACTCCGCCCTTCATGCCCCCACCATTTCTGGATATTGTGATTGCAGTAATATTTGAAGTAGGTGTAGTTGATCTTACAGTGGGTTTCTCAAGGGCAATTGCTGGTAAGATTGAGCTAGTTGGAGCATTAGCTTGGGCTGTATTATTCTCGAAGGTAGGGAGAAAAGTTGGAATAAGAGATATGGTGACGGGAGAAGGAGACACTACCGAAAGTGGAGGGAGATTTAACAAGGATGGAGCCTGGGAAGAAGTAGGTAGTGGTGGAGGAGTTAATGCAGGAGAGGGAGGGATAGTGAGCGGTCACTTTATAGCGGAAGGAGGTGGAGAAACTGAGGTAGGTGGTGATAGGACTGCAATTGGCAGAGAAGGAAAGGGTGAAAGAGCTGGAGAGAGAGGTGTTGTGTCAAAGGAAGGGGAAGGTGATGCTTGTGGGGGAGGAGGGGGTGATAAGTTTACAGATGAAGGGGGGGCAGCAGGGGGTGGCGGTGGTGACAGTTTTTTGTTAGGGGGAAAGGTGAAAAGGGGTACTTTGCTTTCAACCGAGAATGAAATATGTTTTCCGATTTTACCCTTAAAAATATACTCACGTGAGAGAGGTGTTCTATTTTTAGTTAGAGAAATGAGTAAATACGAGCATTAGATTAAAATGGATCATAATTTATATGTTAGAGACGATTCTGACTGATTTTAAATGTTGGAGACTAAAAAAGTTTTTGTGAAAATGTTAAGGACCAATTTGGCAAATTTTCCTTAGTAATTTACCCAATTTTACCATTTACTGTTTTTTCCTTCTCTTTATTTGTTCAAAAGCAATTTTTTTTCCTTATTGCATTTACATTTTTTATTCTTTTTTAAATATAATTTAGCCAACTTTTTCCTTTTCTTTGAACAAAAAACACTATTCTTATCATTTGTAAATTTGACGGCTACCCTAACTATCAATGATTAAGCAAAACAAGAAAAAGGTGTTTTGATGCATTTACACAATCTTTACATGAATTGAGTAATTACATCAGTGAGTTATTCCACTACATAAATAATCACAAATACCCAAGAAATCTTGAGTTTCTCTCTGGTTCTAAGATGGTAATGGTGTTTTTTGTTGAAAAAGAAAAGGAAAAAATTGGCTAAATTATATTTAAACAAAAGAATAAATAGAATTAAAAAAGGTAAACGCAATGAACAAAAAATTGCTTTTGAACAAATAAAGGGAGGGAAAAAGTTAAATGGTAAAAGTTGGCTAAATTAATTTGAACAGAAAAAAGAAGGAATATCAAACGTGAAGATTGTGTAAATGAAGGTATATTGTTATTAAGATGGAGTACTTGGGAAAATCTAGGTGACAATAAGTCATTAAGTGTCCGGTAAACCTCACATCAGGATGATCTTTGATATACTTTAAACTCTTCCACATAATGGAAGTTTGGTCCTTTTGATGTCTAGGTTACCCAACCTAACTTATTAATCCACTCTGAAACGTGGATTAGCCGAGATAAGGTAGTCATCCTCCAATGCAAAGCCACACCATCATTTCATCAAATATTAACTACGAATTTTGTAGTTCTTTTACGTTATTTTGCTCAAATATGTCTCTAACCTGGTTAAAATAAAGTAGTCATCTTCCATTACATGGCTATTACTAAATTTCTTTAGCACTAAGTACTTTCAGTTTTTTTTTTTCATTTTCTCATTACGTTAATTACTGTTAATTTCTTTATGTAGTTTCTCTAATGTAGTCATCTGCATTCCATGGCCATTGCAAATTTCTTTCTTACTAAGTACTTTCAATCTTTTCATTCTTTCAATAAAATAGTTATCACTACAACATAAATTTATCTGCCATTCTTTTTAAGTATCCCATAATTAAGAATCTTTCGTATAATAAATAATTTGAGTTTCATTATGCCTTCTTCAGGCTTCAAAGATTTTTATGAAGCACTTAATCGGTTCAGTTTAGTTTTCTTTTGCTTATAAACTATATGGGCATTTGGAGTTGGAAAGTTCTTAGCTTGGTTGAAATTGTGTTTTAATTTATACAAAGAATACATAAAACTTTAGTATTCCAACCAAATATATTCAAGAAAGAATAATTTCATCAAAATACCTTAAAAGCAAAGTCCAAAGTGATGACAAGCAAATAAAAACCATAGCAATTGTTATGCTCAAAAGCAGGACATCATTATTATTAGAACAAAAAAGAAAAGGGCGATTAGAACAAAAAAAAAAAAAAAGGGACATTGAACCACAACAGATAATTTCACAATTCCCTTTAGCTTATTTCAGAAAACAAGCAATAAAAAGTAGCATCAAGCAAATTTTTCTAAATTTCACAAAAACAGATTTTGTGAAAGCCAAAAACTAGAAAGAAAATAAGAATGACTAAGTTAATTTCAAGTTTTATTTTTAAACTTCATTTCTGATTGTTATATCGTATGTATTTCCAAATTTTGGCTGAAGTTTTGTTCTTTAGCCCTAATACCTTTTAGTCCGCGTTCATCCCAAATTTTATTGGTGTTGTTTATTAGTTTTTACCTTTTACATTTAGCAATAATTTTTTAATTGACATTTTATTTATTAGTTTTTAACTAAAGTTATAAATAAAGCATGGATTTCGTCGATCAGATTCACAACCACTGAAAAATGAAAATGTTATTCTAATGATAGAGGAACATTCTCGAGTGGAGGAAGCATTTTCGAATCAAAAGAAAGAAATCATGCACAAAGCAGTTGAATTTTTTTTTTTCAAAAAAAAAAGTGTATTATTAAAACATTAAATTTTGAAGTCTTGCCAATTTGGTGGAGGGGCCAAAATAGAGTAGGAAATGCACACAGATGAGGATGACTTGTTCCAACTTTTTGGGTTTTTATCATATTAGCCCCCTTAAACTATACCCCAACTATCAGTTTAGTTCCTAACGTTAACTTTTAGTCACTTAAGCCCATCTATTAAGTCAAAGTAGATAATTGACCATTAACCCATTTAAAAATTGCCCTGCTAACTAACTAAAGTTTGGTGAAAACTTTATGACAAAAATACCCTCACCTTGTGCTTTAAGTATAAAATAAGGATTAGAAGGCTTTTCTCTCCTCTATGACAAAGTTTGGTGAAAATATGATAGGCAAAATGACCTGTTTCATCCCTCACATTTCACAAAAATATTCTTTTCGTCCCTCACTTTTAAAATGAAGCAAATTCGTCCCTGACATTTAAAAATTAAAGCTGTTACATCCCTGAACCTAATTTTCAATCTGAATCAAACCATCCAATAACCCAATAATAAATTTCGAAAATAGAATTGATAGATCATTCGGTCAACTTCATCGTATTCACATGACATTTATTAAACGAAAAAAATAAAAATTATAACATAAAAGGTCATTCTTTGTCTTGGAATAGTAGAGTTTTTTTTTTTGATAAATTTTTTCATGCACCGTTAGTATATCCGCTTGCAAATCTAGATGTGTATCATAAATATAAAATTTGGTGTTTAAAGTTAAATTAAAATGATATGGCGGTACATAAAACCGTCAGTGTATACAATGATAACGTAGAAAAGATTAATCTTTCTTTTTATATTATAATTTTTTCTTTTTTCTTTTTAGATTCATTAAATTTTACATGAATATCAAGTTGAGTTAACCAAATGATCTACCAATTACGCCTCCAAAATTTGTAATCAGGTTGATTGGTGGTTTGATTTAGATTGAAATTTAGGTTCAGGGATGTAATAATTTTAGTTTTTAAATGTCAAGGACGAAATTGCTTCATTTTAAAAGTGAGGGACGAAAAGAATATTTTTGTGAAATGTGAAGGATGAAACCGATCATTTTCCCAATATGATAATATTTAAAAATTGCCCTGCTAACTAACTAAAGTTTGGTGAAAAATTTTATGACAAAAATACCCTCACCTTGTGCTTTAAGTATAAAATAAGGATTAGAAGGCTTTTCTCTCCTCTATTTTCTTAAATTGTTCACAAAATTTTTTATTTTACGCAATACCATGTCAAGACATTGCAAATATGATGATATCGAGGTGTGGAATTTCATAACCTGTTTGCACGTCATCGAGCAAAGACAATCTTAGAAGGAAAATTTTATAGTTTTTCCATTATAAGGTCTATTTTTTTTCAAGTGATATGTTAGTAAAAAAATTTTCCCTAGTGGTCCTTTTCTTTTCATAATTCTCCAATTATAAGAACATGCGAGTTTTTCCACATTGAAGCAATTCTCACAGATTAAGGAATTGGAAACCAGACATTATTAATTGAAAAGGAGACCTAACGGAACTTTTTTCATGTACAAAACATATTTGTCAACACATATTAATTCAAAATATCAAGTTTAGCAACCTGGTGCATTTTCATGCTTTACAATAACAAATGTTTATCCACCGTCTACTTGCCACAAAAACACCATCATTACATCAAGTGTTTAATTGTCCTGAAACAAAAGATAAATAGTCATTCTACTACCTTAAAAGGCACCAACCAACCAGAAAAAAAAAAAGCAACATAATATCATTATCTAATAGGACAAAGCAAACAGTTCTCGGAGTATGTCCAACCACCAGAAAAGTCATTTTTCCACTTGGCTTGGAGAAGCATTTGAGGACCCTTGGTTGGATAGTAACTGAACTCCAAATCTGGTCTGTATTTTGCAAACCTAAAAGGCAGATTTTTAGGTTTGAGAATTAGTTATTAGTGCAAATTACCTGATAGTAACAAAAAATAAACTCTATGAAAATTATCTACACTAACTTGATTTTTAGTATTGGATGTTACGTTGCTTCTTAAAGATCTAGATACACTTTCACTTGGTACTTTTTTTTTTTTTTTTTTTTTTTGTCAACACAGGGGTGTCGGGTCAAGACCCGAAGGCGGCCCGACTAATCCCCTGCGCCTGGAGTACAGCGCCACCCCAACCGCACCCAGGCGTTAGGTGAGGTTCGATCCCACGACCTTGCGAGTGGTTTTCCAGCCGCAGACCGGGTGATCTAACCCCGGGGGGCTTCACTTGGTACTTCACTAGTACTATTAACAGTGGTTTTCACAGCATGTTGCTTTCTCGTAGCAGCCCCAAATTTCCATGTCCTGCCACATCCACTCGCATTTGCAAACTGAGTTGGTGTCATACATGGGGGAACCTGTAAACAACGACAAATGTTACTGATATCATAATGAATAAGGTTTGGAGCATAGATGTGATAAAAGTGAGATTTTCACCATTTGTGAATGATGAATAAAAGTGGATCCAGTTGACATTCCTACACCATTCCAAAATTTTGCATACATGTGCCTGACACAGTACCTGTGCTCAACTCCAGAAAATTTGCTTTCTATTGTGTCAATCAAACCCTATACAAAAGTGAACAAATAATAAATATTAGATTCTGTACAAATACATAATCACATATATTAGAAAATAAATTAGTCTAACCTTCTATCTATCAGATATGAAAATCCAGCCCCTTTCATTCGGCTTCCCAATATGGTCCGTAAGTATTTCAAGAAACCAGCCCTTACTATCTTTGCATTCAGACTCTACCAGTGCCATGGCCAATGGGTACATCTGGCTGTTGGCATCTCTACCAACTGCAGCCATCAACTGCCCTCCTAGTGTGCATTTCAAATGACAAGC